TCACAGTGTCAATTCTACATGATGTAACTGTGGTTTGAACAACTGAATAATTACAGTATGGTGACTTTAGACTTTAGGTTTGCTATTATAACATCCGGTGAGAGTCATTAGGCTGTGCTGCAATCCTGAGCCCACTGCTTTCATATGATACACCACTTTAAGTTAAAACAATAGATGAATATTGACATGGCTTATTTGCAGAATTGTTTTACTCATTTTCATTGTTGTTACAGTATTATAACAAGCTATCTAACAAGCTACAGGTAGTCCAAAATGCAGCGGCTAGAGTCCTTACCAGGTCAAGATAACTGACAGTCACCACTGATAAGCTACCACTAAATATTGTAGAAACTTAATTTGCTGTAAAGTTACTTTGCAATGATTTGTATCGTGAAAAGCGCTGTACAAATAAACTTGACCTGACTTGACTATTATCCTTATAAAAATGTACTGCGTTCCTCTAAAATAGTTAGTTAGTGCAGTTAATGTCACTACAATAAAGTTGTGATAACTTGGAGTTAGACACTACTTTCAAAACTAACAAAAACAGCAATGTAAAATTAAAATAAAAACATTTAAAAACGTTTTCAAACTAAAATGTCACCATAATAAAGTTGCGGTAGCTTGGAGGTAGACACTACTGTCATCAAAACAACAAAACAAAACAAAACAAGATAAAAAAACAAACCCCCGAAAATGAAATTAAAAATAAAAACAAAGCTTCTGTTTTTCTACCCCAAAATAAAGGTTGCAAACCAATGCTACCATGATGAATAAATATTTTTTTATATATTATAATTTTACATTTAAATCTATCTATCTATCTATCTATCTATCTATCTATCTATCTATCTATCTATCTGTTTGTTTATTATTATTATTATTATATTTGGTTTTGAAGTAAATGTTTACCTGGATGTTTTTTCCACGTTAGAGTCACCTGCTAGAATACATATCTAATGAAAATTAACTAAACCATTTCCATTTAAAAAAAAAAAATCTAAAAAATCTGCGCTTTTAACATAATTATTGATCACTTCAACTATAATAAACCAAAGACAGGGAGTTATTCTGTGTAGTATTATGCATTCATTAAAAAGTGAAAATGTTACAAACTGGTAGTAAAAAAATGAGCAAAACTCCGGAGGTTTTCACATGCTAAGCTTTTCTGAAGTTGGACACACACCTGCCAGTTGAAAGGCACTGCCCCAGTGACAGCTTTTTTTCTGAGTGTGAGTAAAATGTACCTTTGTAAAAACTGCATGCCTACTTTGTGGTAGGGCAGAGGCACAAAGTTTCATTAATATCTGTCTACTGGGTTTTGATGAAGAATGAGGCCATTTTTAGCCTCATGATGACGACATCATTGCGTCAGCGTTACACCTACAGCATCAGTCGCATGCGTATTCACTGCTGCCGCGTTTCTACATACACTGTATTTATAATGACATTGTTTCCACGTGCATTCAAGTAGAACATCACTGTGATTCAAATCACTTGCATTCAAAGCCAGCCTGATACAGGAACCATCATGGAAAGAGGAAGTAAAACTCTTTATGTTGGTATGCAATTAAAAATGTAAGCAGTGACAAACATGTTTCCTTTATATAATCTGTTTGTGCACCATGAGAGAGAGAGAGAGAGAGAGAGAGAGAGAGAGAGAGAGAGAGTACTGGTGCGAGAGTACTGGTGCTGCAGTGAATGTTTTAATTATGTTTTTCTTTTTTCACACACTGGTGAGTGTTGACCTCAGTGAGACTCCACAAAACAAAATCTGCTTAAAGAAACATCTCTCTCTCTCTCACACACACACACACACACACACACACACACACACACAAACATATTTATTTTCATTCTGTGAAAGGCCCTTATAACACACGAGTATGTCAGCTATAAAAATATGATAAGTCTATAAACTATAGGAATCATATAAAAGTCAACACTTGAGACACACATTTTTCACATAATAGAAGTCAAAATCAAAATGTATTAAAATCATGTGAACCCATGTGTTTTTCATTACAGAACCATGAAACAAAAAACAAGCTTTACCTTTTCAAAAGGTACAAATATGTACCATTAAGTTGCTAATATGTACACTTGAGATACCAATATATACCTTTAAGGTATGCACACAATATGCACCCTTCAGAGGTAAATAAGGGACAAAGGTGTACCTTTTGAAATGGTCCTGTCCCAGTGACAGCTTTTGTACCTTTTTTTCTGAGAGTGTACTGACTGAATGGTGATTTGTGAAGGGCGTTCAGTGTGCTTTCTGTACGATGGTTCAAACTCATCGTTTTCCATATTTATTTGTATTTGCCAAAAATATCTCAGCAAGTTATATTATATTACAGCAGGTAATGTCTGAATAATGTGAGGCAAAACAATAAAATGACCATTTGATGTCACCCAAACTAAATAATCTGCCAGTGTAGAGTTGTGTATATGAAAGTGCATGTTTGAAACAAGCATCAGTATGCAGGGTCTGATGTGTGTGTGTGTGTGTGTGTGTGTGTGTGTGTGCAAAATTATGGGGAAGCTGTGCCTCCCCTGCCTCCCCTGACGAGCCGCCACTGCTCGGCTATTGTGTGGCCCACAGCACTTTTGAGCGAAACAGGTTTTTCTTCTATTATAACGAGAAGCACAGTCACGCATACCTGGGTCATTTTATGAAACAAGTGCCTTTACCAGCTGATTTTTTTATTTTTATTTTTTTAAATAAGACTTTTAAACATTCTATCATGCAACTAATGTTTACATTTTAATAAACTGCATTGTGCCATCAAAAGATAAATTAATCAATGTGTGTGTGTGTGTGTGTGTGTGTGTGTGTGAGTGTGTGACAATGTAACAGAAGCTCAGGAGTGTGAGTTGATGTGTCTGATCGCAGGCTGTTTGTTGCTCTGTAAATCCGTTGAATCTGAGCAGAAAGGTGTGAGGGCCCTTCACATTTACGGCCCCTGAGAAGCGCAGACTACATCCTCTATCATCATCTCCAAGTGCAGTGGTGTTTACTGTAAAACACTTGATCTTAAATGACCATCACAGTTTTCCCTAAAAATCTGGTGAATAAGGATTTGTGCAAATAAAGGTTTCATTGTACCATGATGCATAATAACATCGACATTAACCCCTTTTTTTAACATCAAGATATTAGGTTAAATTTATATGAATTTTAGATACCTTTTTTTTATTGCAGTTTATTGTAATGGCCATGTGACATTGCATATATATATTTTTTTTTTCATAAAGAATATTCCATAAAGTACCTCAATTAATATGATGTCATAAAACTTGAGAAACATAATTCTTATCCAGTAACATTTATTTTAATAAAACAAATGGATGTTTTATAATAGGTTTAGGTAAAGTATAAAATATCACAGCGCATGACACTGCTGTCATTGTCGTATAAACTTCTAATATCAAGTAACCTAATATAAACCATAGGACGTTTATTGACCGTGACACTCGGCACTTCAAATTCAAATCAGTGCGAAGAAAAAAAACATATTTGAAAAATATTTAAATATTTTAAAAGTTAAAATAAAAGCAACAATATGCCCATATCTACAATTACTTGCAATAAAAAAAAGGTGAAATATTTCAGTTGTAAATAAATATGTAGGCTATGTTTATTATTTCAATCTCTCCGCTGTTGCTGGCTGGATTGAGGAAATTCACACATATCAGCTTCAGGCCATCATCCACACTTCAGTCGATGGCCGCGTCCTAATGGGCGTCCCAGCAAACACCAGCTTTCTCACATGAGTATCTGGGACAACAAAAGATTAGCATTATTCGCAAAGAGTTCAAAGGCAGCGCGGAGCAGACACCGTCTCTCTTCCTTCTTTTGTTTCAAAGATGAGCTCCCGAATAGGAAAACAAGTTTGGATTAGGCTACTCTCCTGCCACGCCGATGAAAATGTTTCCATGTGAAATCATTCTAATAATATCACAGTATGCAATATTAAAAGAAGAAGAAGAAGAAGAAATAGGCTATATTTAAACAATTTAATATTATGCCCAATTAAATCAGAAGAACAAATAACAAAGTACAAAATGTGTAAAAGTAGCTAAATAAAAACAACAATAATAATAAACCAATAAAAAATAAAAAGTTGCTATATTCAAAAACAGTAGCCTAAATAAATGAATTGTTTAATAGGCCCATCTGAAGTTGTGCTTATACTTTGCTCCTTAAGTAATTTTCTCTTTTTTGTTTAATTAACACTTTATTTTAAGGTGTCTTTGTTGCTCATGTTACATGTGTGTACTATTATAATAACAATTAATTATGCATAATTACATGCAAGTAACCCTAAACCAAACCCTAATTCTAGACCTAACCATATAGTAAGTACATGTAGTTAATTAATATTAATATTAAATAATATGGCACCTTAAATAAGGTGTAACCTATTTATTTATTTATTTTACACAAAAGGCCTGTATCTTAAACGTTTTTCATTGAATGTGGACTTTCAAACACTTCAACGCTTTGTAATGGGCCTCTATGAATGTCAAGAATATACTTTCCGTTTTGTGGCGACATATTATCGGGCGCGATGGGCCTGGGCTGGCGCTGCGGGTCACGCCCCGTAACAGCGGGAGCTCCGTATATCGGCCCTTTAAAAAGGCTCCGGCGCGTTAAAGAGCAGATTGAGACGCGCTGTCAAAGCATCGCACCCCAACGGGATTTAGTGATTTCGGACTTCTATTGATTTGATCGGAAATATGTCTTCCTCGAGTCCCGACCAGCGCCTGGATCACCTCCTGAGCGCCGTGAAGAGCGAGTTTCAGGAGGGCAGCGTGAAGGGCGACGCGTCGGAGCGGGATATTAAAATTTCCCTAGAAGACGCGGAGCTATGGGGCAAATTTAAAGAGCTCACCAATGAAATGATTGTCACGAAAACTGGAAGGTAAGTTGAGATGCACTAAAACGCTTCCTTTTAATGTAAGAAGATATGCGGTTTTTGCACTTCTTTTCATGAATGCTCCTAATCTAGGCTATCTAAAAAAAAAAAAAATCTTGACCACAGTCGGAACATTTTTGTAGTGTCGCTATGGTTACGATCGCTTATTAGCGGTCTAATTTTGTCAACCGTTAATAGTCGATAATTAGTTGATAATAATTATTCTTATCAAGTTCATTGAGTTTGAATGCTATTAAAATGTTTTTGACCATGCAGTCTTTGTTTCCTCTTCTAGGCGAATGTTTCCCGTGCTCAGAGCCAGTGTCGCCGGTCTGGACCCCAACGCTATGTACTCGGTCCTGCTGGACTTCGTGGCGGCCGATAATAATCGGTGGAAATATGTGAACGGTGAATGGGTGCCGGGAGGGAAACCTGAACCGCAGAGCCCGAGCTGCGTCTACATCCATCCAGACTCACCCAACTTCGGCGCACACTGGATGAAAGCGCCCATCTCCTTCAGCAAAGTCAAACTCTCCAATAAACTCAATGGAGGAGGACAGGTAAAGACACTCTTTAGTTCTCAACAGAGAGAAAAAAAAAATACATAAATAAAAACGCAACAAATGCAATTCTTTCAAATAATATTAAATGATATACAGTATATATTATATTCAGTATGAAATTGCACAACCGTTATTTTTTAGATTATGTTGAACTCTTTGCACAAATACGAGCCCAGGATTCACATAGTGAAAGTCGGTGGGATCCAGAAAATGATCAGCAGTCAGTCTTTTCCCGAGACTCAGTTTATTGCGGTCACAGCTTATCAGAATGAAGAGGTGAGTGTTTGTTAAATAAAGCCTGAGATGCGTCCTGCATAAAGAACAATTTCCTCTATATTAATTTGCTCTAATTAATTTTCAGATCACAGCTCTGAAGATCAAGCACAACCCATTTGCCAAAGCCTTCCTGGATGCCAAAGAAAGGTATGCAATTACCTGACATAATTTCTTTATGAAATGTATTTAGATTTTATTATGTACTTATTAACATTATTCAAACTGAACTCTATTTGTTGTCACATCAACAGAAGTGACCACAAGGACGTCCCAGACCACAGCACTGACAACCAGCAATCTGGATACTCGCAAAGTAAGTAAACCAGAACTTCATGAACTACTAAAACAAACAGTGTCTTATAGCATATTTAACACATGCGTCTTCCTCCAACAGTTGGTGGCTGGTTCCTGCCCAGTAATGGCCCTATGGGCCCCAGCAGCAGCCCTCCTCAGTTCAACGGGGCCCCCGTTCACTCCTCTGGCTCGTACTGCGAGAGATACTCCAGCCTGAGGAACCACAGAGCTGCGCCGTATCCCAGCCATTACCCCCACCGCAGCACGACCAGCAGTAAGAGCAAATGAACTCTGATCCATGTGTCAGTCCATTATACACTCTTAAAAATAAAGCTTCTTGATTGGCATCGATGGTTCCATGAAGAACCTCAAACACCCATGGAACCGTTCCATTCCACAAAAGGTTCTTTAGATCTTTAGAATGTTCATCACATCGAGAAAAAAAAGGTTCTTTGGATTTTTAGAATGTTCTTCACACTGAAAAAAATGGTTCTTTTAAGAACTATTCACTGAAAGGTTCCTTGAGGAACCACATTTGTTCTTCTGTGGCATCACTGTGAAAACCCCCTTTTGGAACCAGATTTTTAAGAGTGTAGTTTCTTGGACCAGAAAGGCTTTTATTGTATATTTTGATCCATTTCTTTCCATTGATCTAGTTCTTGTGTTGTGTTTGTAGATAACTACATGGACAACTCTTCAGGAGGTCTTGCTTCTCACGATAGCTGGTCGGCCCTGCAGATACCCAACTCCAGTGGCATGGGCACCCTGGCCCACACCACCAACACTACCTCCAACAGCAGGTCAGTGCTTCCTACATCTAAACCAAGATCTCTCTAAGTGGATTTGCTGGCTAACTGTGTGTTTTCTGCGTTCCAGCCAGTACCCAAGCTTGTGGTCGGTCGCGGGGACGAGCCTCACCCCCTCGGGCTCAGCATCGGGGTCCATCACGGGCGGCCTGACGTCTCAGTTCCTGCGCGGTTCCTCGGTGTCCTACTCGGGGCTGACCTCCTCTCCCTCCTCGATGTATGAGCCGGGCCTGAGCGAAGTCGGCGTGGGAGATGCTCAGTTTGAGAGCTCCATCGCCAGGCTTACAGCGTCCTGGGCGCCTGTGGCACAGAGCTACTGAGATCCACCAGACTGTGGCTCTCAGGACGTGATCTGAGGTGAAGATCCTACGCGTCTGCTTCCTGAGGGAATGCAGAAGAGCCGACAATCAGAAGGCCTGTGCGAAAGGAAACGGGAAACGGGTTGATTTTCTTCATTCGTATCTGTATGGTATCGTGGCACGAAGTAATTACGAGAGACAATCACTTAATCATAGAGTATCTATATTTGCAAAAAACGTTTGGGGCCAATTATGGTGTTTGTTGTTCTTAATCATATTATCTGAAAGATTAATAAGAGCAAATCGTGCTGTTGACTGATTAAAATGTATATGTGTGTAAATAAATAGAAATGAACGCCCATTTTGATGGTTTTACAGTATGTAACAGTCTTACATGTGCTTTCTGTAGACGGACTTTGCTGTTTAGTTTGAAAACGGTTTGAATAGCGACCCTGTAGCTTTGTCTGCAATCCATCCTATAGAGAAATCATTTGTACATATCTATCTATTTGTATTTGTTGGACTCTTTGTGAGTTTTATTTATGTCATTTTAATAATAAATTAAAGTTTTTTTGTTTTTCTTCTGTCAAACATTTGTCAGTAGTCTTTACTTTCCTTGTATTTTTCTTAAATGCATGTATTTACTTTTGGTTTGTTACACAGATATAATTATTGTATGTCAAAAAGATGTCTCTTTCAAATAAATGCTAATTTATGTTAATGATTAATTACATTTCTTTTTTTTCCCCTGTCAAACACTTCTCGTATTTTCTTAAATATATTATTTACATTCAGCTTGTTCAAATTATTCCATTTGCAAATCTTGACACTGTAAAGAACTTTTAACTAAAATGTCTTAATTGCTCATTGGTTAAACGGTCGTTTCCTATGAAACAGCTTAGTATTGATGGCAGGTTTTAAATATTTGCTTGTTCAAAATACATTTTAGCATTTATTCTTTCTAAATTACCCATCAACCATTAATAATCTGAAAACATACACGTTTTTTTTTTCAGGTCTTTCTCTACACAAATATGTCTAGCCACTTCAAGTCTTCTTACAGTTCTGTTAGTTCATGTTTATTGTTATCTTGTTGAGGTATTAATTTCAGTGGTGCATAATCAGGCCGGCGGGTTCAGTAAATTCATCAGCAGGAGGAAGCTGATTCTTGAGTTGAGATGAAGCTTGTGAGTTTGGATGAGTTTGGATGTGATGAGCAGCAGCAGGTGTGTGTTAAGATCTGAGTGACACATGCTCAACACATCGCAAGAAAAAAATCTTGATCAATAACAAAACGCAACTGATCCCGACTTCAGTGAGAAATTAAAAAATGACAAAATATAAAAAAATAATAATAATGTCATATTCTAAATAGGAAGTGACACATTCACAAACATAATATAAATGCTGCACACAAATGCATTTTAACACATTTGTTTTTACATATTTGTGTCATACTTCTTTTATGTATATTGTTTATTATTATTATTATTATTATTATTATTATTATCATCTGTTTCAATAATACTACTAGTAATAATAAAACAATACTAATATACTACTATTACCACAAATAATTATTATTTTATTAGTAATAATATATTATACAATATTTTGTTTTATTATTTTTATTTTAATTACTATTATTGCTATTAATAAAATCAACATGAATAATACTAATACACAGTACTACTACTATTAATTCTACTACTACGACTACTACTTCTACTAATACTAATAATTATAATTTTAATATTAATTAATATAACAATAAATAATAATAAACAGCTTAAAATAAACATTAATAAGAGGCTTCAAAAATACCTCTAGTAATAACAAAAACAATGCTAATGCTAATAATACTAATTAGTAGTAGTATATTATATAATGTATTGTTGTTACACAGGTGTCACTGCTCACTGACAGCGCTGGAGAGCTGCGCTCTGAGGCCATGATTGAGCACTCAGCACCTGAGCGTCAATGAAGCCTGGAGGGTCACAGGGCCACAGGCAAACAATAATGAAGGAGCAATGTGACAGCCAGCTGTGTGTGTGTGTGTGTGTGTTTCCAGGGTAAAGAGCACAACCCATGAAAGTTAGTCTTTCTAAACAGATCTCTGTTGACCTGTAGAGGATCTGAACTCTCACAGCATGAATCCTGAAAAGCTCTTTGTAAACCGCATGAGACACCTACTGCTGTATGAGCACTTCTACATAATACACAGGTTTTTATGGGGACAAAATCTTGTAATAAACGAATAAAAACTAAGACAAGAACAACCTATGTGCTGGTGCTGTCAGGAAAAAGAAAGTACACTTAGAAATACAGCTAAAATGAGTGCACTACATGCATTCACTTGCACAGAATATACATCGTTCATAAGTTTAGGGCATTAAGATTCTTAATTGATACTTTTAATTGGTTTTTAATTGATACTTTTATTCAGCAATGATGCATTAAATTGGTCAAAAGTGACAATAAATACATTTATAATGTTATAAAAGATTTTTTTTTTATATAAAAATGTTTTTCTTTTGATTCTATTGATCAAAGGACCCTGAAAGAAATGAGTCAAAGTTTGAAAATGTGAAGCAGCACAACTGTTTTCAGCATTGATAATAATCAAAAATGAATTTATTATATTAGAATGATTTCTGAAGGATCATGTGACACTGAAGACTGGCGTAATGATGCTGAAAATACAGCTCTGATCACAGAAATAAATTACTTACATTTTCGATGCATTTTTGCAGTAACTTTCTGTCAACACTGTTTTGTGGATGTTTAGTGGATGCATGAAGTCACTTCTCCTCGTATTCACACAGGAGTCCAATATACAGCCACCACAGATGAAGAGAATTAACTATCAACATCATCCACTATTGTATGAAAAAGTGTGTTTCTTAATGCCACCTGCCCCTGATCACTGATGAGTCTCAGAGAATCAATGAGCTCTTTGTGTGCGAGGTGGATCTGCATTCACCTAGAAAACAGTTATTTAAAATTGTAATATTGTTTCACAATATTGCTGTTTTTACTGTACTTTTGGACAAATAAATGCAGCCTTGGTGAGCAGAAGATAATATATTTTTTAAAAAATTAAAAAATCTTGCCAACCCCAAACTTTTGAATTACGATGTTTCGAATGTTCCGCAGAAACCTTTTCAAATAAAATTATATATATATATA